TTGTTTGGTTAGCCCATTTAAAGGGCATTTAATGTTTTACATACCACTCCAAACCAGGAAAATGCTCAGGCACTATTACCCAACTGGTTATATCAGTTTTCTGTTTTTTTTTTTTTTTTCTCTCCTTTGGACTGTATGAGGTAAGAGGATAAAATCTTTGTCTAAGGATTTGTGCAACATTTTCTTCGAGTCTATATTATACTTTTATGGAATGGTTAAAAAAAAGAATTACTTTAATCATTTGCTTTTTTTGATCGTTTGTAACAATGTCTTGCATTTGTGAGGTATATTGAATCCTTAGAGTTGCCAAAACAGCCTTTCAGCAGGGCTCTTATCCTGGAAGCAGCAGCTGTAAGACAGACGTAGGTTGCAGAATCCCAATTAATGAAATGAGGCCAAGGAAGGACACGTTGGTCTGTAACGCAAATGGCTGATTTTGCAAGACCAAGTGATCACGCGAACTTGTATGTTGGGACCACTTTATGGTAGTACTACAAAGCGGGTACGTGACGCTGTACAGGTTACAGGAAGTGAAAACATGAACTCAGAAAATGTTTCCGAGGTGCTAAAATGTAACATGTTTGGGGGACAGAATACAGTAAAAAGGTAGTGAGAGATAAATGTGTATTTAATGATTAACAGTAGGACTTCAGTCATGTATTTGCTAAGAACATCTAAAAGTGACTGTCAAGAAGTAAGTGTACTTTCTTCTAGGCACTGTCAACAGTTATCAACTAAGGTTACCTGTTTGTTTTACTTGAAGTCCAGGCAATTGTAATAGGTTAAGAATCAGATTTTTCTTAAACTTACGGGTGGGTGTATTTATATAAACTCTGAGTGATATTTTTAGATTTAGATAGAATTCTAATGTTAATATTTCTTCTATAAAATTTGTCATATGTGTCTGAAAATTACATTGTCACTGTAGTGATAAGAAAAATAACCTGACAAGTTTTCCTTTTGATTTAAACAGCAAAAAGTTCAGAAACTAAATCAGGACTTGTTTCAGAAACAAACTAGATTTGGATTATTTCAATTTCAGTAATCTTAGATAAAGTAAGATTCATTAGGAAAGAGATACAGAAAAGTGTCTTTCCAGCAGAATTTTACATCCAACAATACTAATCTTTTTATTTCATTGTTATGTATTAGATACTGCAAAGAGGAATAAACTTTGGGTTTTGTTAATAAACTAGTCAGAGTCCTATATCCTCACCAGAAATTATTCTCATTGCTCATGAAAAAAGATTAAAAAGTAAATACTTCAAACATCCTAATGTTGTAGTTCTACAACTGTTTCATACAGATGACATTAGCTTCTAATTTATGTTCCGTCTCTGTCTTTCTCAGGTTGAATTATTGTTCGCCAGCTGTGTTTCCAGTGGATTTTTTTGCTCTAACTTATGGTGGAAACTATCCCAGTCTGTCTTGAAGTGCTTCTCTTGTATTTTTAGTCAGGCCAGTGTACTTTGGCAAATGCAGTCATTTTTCATTTGCTGAGTTCAGAAACGTGGTCTTTTACAGTAGCCATTTGGCTTGCATTTTCCTGCAGTTGCTCCGACTAGGTTTATAGATTTAGTGTTTAAAGTATTTGAGTAAAATTTCTTTCTTACTGTCTGTAAGTGAGATTTATACGCAGTACATAGACCTTACCAGTTTCCTGCACTTACTTCTTTCACGGACCTCCTGTGCTCTTAGTTGTCATGCAACTTTCAGGTCCCAGTGTGCCATCTGCTTCTCAGAGGTCCAGTTTCACCATCTCTTTCAGCCATTCTTATTCTTTACGCAACTCGGTAGGATTTGTGCTGGATCCCTAAACATGTATCTTCACTTCCATGTCTTCTTCACGCTCCACCACACTTTTTTTTATTTAGGAAGACTACTTGAAAATGGGTTCTTTGTTTCTTAACCATTCATCTGTTGCCACTCTTGATTCTTGGATGTAGTAAATGTCAGTGATTCAGTCATGTTCAGAACAACCTGTTGGGATATCATAGAGGTCATGATTTAAAGGAAATAAACAGTTTTTAAGTAACAAAGATACTGTTTTCCTGTACATATCTAGAGAGCAAAGAAGCAAGAAAGAAAAAAGGGAAGATCTTCGAATGCTTGCAGTTAGATCACAGCTGATTTTTATATCCTTTCACTTGTTTTGTTTGCTACTCATCATGCGTCTAGGGTTGATTTGGAGACCTGATCCTAAAGGACAAGGGTTTAGCAAACCTGGATTGGCATCTCTAAATTCTGCTTACTTAATCCCAAAAGTTGTTTTATATACCAGTGTACTCGCAGTCTTCCTTCTGAACTCTAAATCAAAATGAAAATGGGGTTGGTTTGGCCTGTTGTGGTGTTGGTTTGTTTTGTTTTGTTTTTTTTTTTTAAAGTTTGTTAGTTTTGTGGTTTTTTTTTTTTCCCTAAAAAGTTTTGTCTCAGAGTGTAAGTAGTTCAAGTGACATTTCAACAATTTTGAGCTTGTTCTACACTCGGAACAAGTTGAATTTGCAGTTGAACTTCTATTTTAGGATTCACAGGCTACGCTCACAAGTGACACAATACATGATTATGAAATGTAACCTTGGTCGTTGGATGCTGTTTCATGCTTGCTTCTTTGTATATGTGCAGTGTGATTTGCAGATGAACAGACCCCAACAGCACTTGTTACAGACCTAGTTATGCTAAACAGAATTCCATGGACAAGAGCAAATGTTTGAGAAGGCTTTTCAGAATAAGATTGATTATTTTTATTGTTGTCTTTTAGTATATTTTTGATATTTTAAATTGGTTATATCCTAACAGGTCATTAGGCCCAATCAGCCTATGGAGAAATAATTAGGAGAGGATCCCAGTACAGGCTAAGGAATGACCCGTCTTCTAGGAGAGTAGATTCATTTTGATCCTGCTTCTGTCTTAGCCATCTTTATTCCATCACATTACTGGTATTCCTATGGCTTTCTCTATTATCCTTCTTCATAACTTAATGATTTATTTATTTTTCATAGTTACTAAAAGCTAAGGGTTTTTTAAGTAGATGTTTATCTTACACCTTTTTGATGATTTTATCTTTTTGATGAGTCTCCAGATTTCTGGTGTTAAATATATGGAATTTAATTTGGAAAAAATGACCTTTTTTCCCACATTGGTTTTAGGGTCAAAGAAATTCATTTATTTGCCTCTTCTACATGCTTTCCTTGTATTACATGTCAAGATATAAGAGCCAGACATTTCTTGTGCCCATTCCATAAAATGATGCTAGTGTTTTTTACAATGTGTTGAACTCCTTAGTTTTGAGGAGGTTTTCTTGATTTTGATACTAATTCGCAATATTTTGATATTAATATATATAGGTCCAAGTTGGTAAGTTTTCAAGCATTAAACTACTGAGCAAGATAGGCTGAAGATTCTGGTAGTACGGATGTGAAAAATCCAAGTATCTTTAGCATATAGTTTGTGGGCTGGCAGCATTTCCATCTGACTTGAACTAACATGAATTTTCATTTTGTACAATGAACTGCTGCTGAATGTAAATGAAGTCAAGGTGTGAAATGCAAAGAGTCAGCAGTGCTGAAAGCAACGTACATTAAAGTACAGCATCTGTGAATACAAAGCTGCCCTTCTGGGACACTGTGCAAAATGATGTAACTGAGTGAAAAAGCTCTGCAAAAATGTATTTCACTTGCTGTAATTGAGTGTCTTTGCTGCAATACCTTCATGAGGCTTGAGTCTGATGCTTTCCTGACCGTGCAGTGGGATTATATTGTATGAAAAAAGCGGTTGACAGTAACAGCTAGAGATACTGAGGTTTTGTTTTGCTGCCCTGCACCTGTGCTTCAGCACTGCTACAAAGAGGGGACACGTAAGGAAAGCCTTTAATGCTTGTGGGGTAAGTTTGCAAAGAAATTAGCTTCTGAAAAATTCAGGTTGACCTTTTAAAATGCTTAACTGTTTGTACACTTGCAAAAAGTTCAGATAATCACCTTTCTTTCTCACAACCTTATCTAAGTATCCATATCCCTGCAGCAGCAACATGATGTCACAATGGAATATTTTAAACATTTTTGTTTCGGTGAATTAATTTCTGTAACTGCTGAAACTCTCTTAGTTCTTGGATTAAAAATCTTGTATTGGTAAAAGTGTTTGTTTCTGGAAATGTAAATGCCTTGTGTGGAGTCTCAAAGTTTTAGGTACTGTGGAATTTGCATATCAAGGAATTAGACTGTAAAGGTTGTTGCTACTGAAATAAAATAAATGGTGTTCTTTGATAAATATGATGATGTTAATGAGAGGTGAAAGCATGTAAGTAAAATTAAAGCACATTAAAGTAAAATTTCTAATACTTCTGCATTACTACTAGATTAGAAATGTTTGATAGTTTGGAAGTACTATAAATGTTTGACAGTCATATCAACACACTGCTGTGATAGCAGCAATATACTGCTGATGAGACAAATCCAGTACTAAGCCACCTTTGCTTGCCGTTATTATCATTAATATTCCAAACTAATGAGCATTGAACTTAAAACTACGCATTAAGTCAGTCTGTCCAAACTGTGAATTGCTTCATGATTAAATCCTATTTCAGACTGCACTCACAGTTATAACTTGCATTGAATTTTTGGAAGAGCATGTGTGACTAGGTGAGCTCATCCTTCTCATAGCAAGTGGCATTTGTTGTATTTTCTAATACAATGGTTTTGTTTTGGCTGTGGATCTCAGCTGCTTATCAGTAACTTTAGAATACAGGTCACATATCAGCCGGGTCATACTACAGGACTTTAAAGTAGCTTAGTTTCTAAAAAAAGATCCCTCTTGGTTATGTTAAACTAAAACCATCAACAACAGGATTCAAGTGCTTCTTAGATAAATCACTACCAGTATGGAACAGGACAAGAATGCAATGTTATAATGCCAAGAAGTTGTTTGCTTGTTTGTTTTTCCCTTTCTCACTGCTAGGATTCCAACAGGAAAATTTTCTTGACCTTGTGTCTGTGTAGCTCTTAAGGATGGCAAGCAAAGGACCCACTACTTCTACATCAACAAAGAACTCCAGTACTGGAGGGACCAGTGGCAGCAGTAGCAGTAATGGTGCTGGGGACAACGCCAATCAGGACAACACTTTTGAATGTAACATCTGTTTAGACACTGCCAAGGATGCAGTTATCAGCTTGTGTGGACATCTTTTCTGGTAAGTACTCAAGCCCCCACAGATAAACCAGAATGCTGTATATCTCTCTGATCACATAAAAGCCTATGATTTTTATAATTCTAGATGTCAAATAAAATGTCTTGTATAAAATGAGTAAGGACCATGGTTTTGGTTTAGGAGCAGTTTGGTTTTGCTCCTCAACTGTTTTTCTTTCCTCATGTTCCAGGGAGTGGGTTTCTTGCATCTTAAACTTCCTATACTTCTGGATTATTTTGTAAAAGCAAACAAACAAGCAGCCCCACATAGACAGTTCAGTGTTCATTGATACTGCTTGGTTATGTGTGTTATTTTATTTGTGCTTTCTGGTCTAGCAGAGATACCTTGTTCAGACCTAAATTCCTTTCTAACCTGTGCATACCTAGACCTGTATCTGAAACTAGGTTCTGGAGGCCAAATTGTAGTTTTCGTACTTCCTACAAGCTTGCTCTTTTTTCCTTTGAACCCGTTAAAAAAAAATTAGATAACACGCTTTTACATGTGGGCTATTTCTCTTTTCCCATGGTATTGCAGTTGTAATACTAACTTTTCAGTTCTTTGATCTGACTTGGGAATGTATCGCACAAATATAATAAGCTTGCAGCATTTCTTATGTGGGTAACTCGGTCTAGAATATACTTTCTTGAATGTTAAGAAGTTATTAAGGATTGACATGGCCAAATGTTTATTTTACACAGTAGGCTAAATTATGCTTTTTAATAAAAAGAGGCCTAAAAGAGCATTTCTTTTCTGTGTAAATGTATGTAACATCTGAAAATCCAGGTTTTTATTCCAGGAGGAGATGGAAAATCACTTGCTGATGGCATGTTAAGATAAAATTAGATTAAAGTATTGCACAAAAGGATTTTGAAGAATGGAACCTTGAAAAATAGCATGTATCTTGTCTGAATAGTGTTGTCAAGACCACTTTGAAAGCAGATGCCTGCTTAGCAGTTTTATCTTGTAGCTTGCTTGTTTGTCTTTGACCTTTTTAAAGTTGCTAGATTAATTTAATTGTAAGAGTAGTTCTGTATAATGGGAATTTCTCTGCCCTGAGCAACTGGGTCTGATCTCAATAGCTGACCCTGCTCTGAGCGTCAGGTTGGACTAGAGGCCACCTGAGGTACTGTCCAGCTTGAATTATTACATGATTCTGTGAATGTGGCTGGTGTTTTAGCTAAATGTCCCTTGCATGACTTCTTTTAAGATCATGCAGTCTTGTTACTGACATCTTCCTCATTTGCATCTTAGCTCAGGGATATCTTTTCATGGTATCAGAAGAGAAAATCTGTACAGTAAACACTAAGATTAATTTAAGCCTCTGTATGGGCCTCTGGTATGGATGAGGACCCAGGAATCAAAGGTGATGCAGAGAATCATGTTAGCAACTTAGATTGCATAACCTGAAAAGACCAGTGGATATCGGTCTTGGGCTGTGCTTTCAAAAATTATTTTAATGGGAGGTTATGGAACTGGCCCAGCTGGATTCCAGGATTCTGTTGTCTCCAAGCTGTGCTATCCGTGGTACGCTTTATACATTTGTCGGATTGAGTTGTCAGTAACTAATTCTATTTTCCCCTCTTTTTCTGCTCTGTGAACAAATTGTCCTGGGAATGCTCACAGTTGGCCTTGTTTACACCAGGTAAGACCGGTTTCCTTTTACTTTGTCTTTCATCAGCTCCTGTTACTCAATAAAGCCCTTGGTTCTCTGGAGTATCCCCCTCTTTTCAAATGCGCTTCTTTCTCTCCAGGGCAACTGCAATGTGCTAATGCAACTTCATGCGCAACACCTTGCAATCTGCTCTTTCAGCAAAAAGAAAACTTAGATTCTGTTCCACTTGCCTCCCACTTTTGAGTTTCTTAAATACTGAGTATTCCCAGGTTTGTTAGGAGAATTACTGTAGGCAGGTCACGAGTTTAGTTTGCAGGCTTAAGTGCTGAGTGTACTTCTCTTTGCATATGTAGTGTTTTACATTGTGGTACAATTACAGAAAAGATAGATGAAAGGAGGGTATCTACACTAGCCCTTGGCCTATGCAGGACTGTTGGTACTGTTTATTTCTTAATGTTTTACTCCAGTGCATTTCTGAATGTGTACACATCAGCAAGTGGATCGTACCAAAACAATAGCCAAAATGCCAACACTTTGGAGAGTACTTGGTGCTTATTAAAATGTTTTGCTCCTGTTTGGCTTTCTGAGAAATTGCTAAAGTCTCTCTGCCTGGCTGCAAATGAGATTTGCATGTTGTTGTTTTCATGGTCTTTTACTAGTTTTCTCGTAATTTCCTTTCTTTTAGTGGCTAGAGACCAGGCCAAACAGACAAGTGTGTCCTGTATGCAAAGCAGGAATCAGTCGAGATAAAGTTATTCCTCTGTATGGAAGAGGTAGCACTGGGCAACAGGATCCCAGGTAAGAAACCTAAATGCAGCTATTTTTCTGTGAAAACTGAAGATGAAACTTTAGTTTAAGGTCGTATGATTAAACTATCAAAGTGCTGGATTCACAATTTGAAATACTTTGTCAAAAGACAGATAGAACTCACATTTCTGCCAAATAGTTCTGGCTTTTTCAGGGCCTAGGTTTGCACACCTCATTTCTTGTTCAACTGGCAATTTATTTTAATTTGAATTGGGTGTTAATTATCAGTTACAAGTGGCAGGTTGCAATTAATGCTATCAGACTGGAGAAGCTTATATAAAATGTTCATGTCCTTAGTTTCTAGCCTTTGCAATGGGACTTTGTTATTCAAAAGTGCAGTATCTTAATTCAGTGATGTGATGCTGAAGGTTCATATAGCTGGGTGGTTTACTCACTCACACACTACCTCCAGCTCTGCCGCAGCGTGGCCCTGTGAAAGCGTGCTCTGTGTTTGTTCTGTCTTATTAGCCAGGCTATTGCAGATACTATTGTCATGTATCCATGCACTTGAGCTAATTTCACAACTTCCTGCAGAGAGAAAACACCACCACGACCCCAAGGACAGAGACCTGAACCAGAGAACAGAGGGGTAAGTGAAAAAACAAGCTTGAGCAGATAAGTTGTTTTTATTGATGGTGGTATTTATTCATCCTGGAGGACATAATGTGTGCATGAGATCCTATGTGAGGATCCTACAGCTTACATTTCTTGCTCATCCCCAGTAGGTTGTTCATGAATAATTGATAGCTGCTGTGTGGCAGAAAACTCCATTCTTATAGTACTCTTTAGCATCCCAAAGAATGGGCTAACTTGAATCATGCTTCATGAAAACAGCCCTGTGTGGCATCACTGGAAATGCTCTTCTTCACACTTGCTTCTCCATACATAAATACAAGGAACACTTCGCTTTGAAAATTCTTTGTGGAAGTATATTTTACTTGCTTGTTCTCCATACATAAATACAAGGAACACTTTGCTTTGAAAATTCTTTGTGGAAGTATATTTCCATCAAACTATACCTGTCATGCAAATACATAATCCATGTGTGAACTTACTTTTTTGGCACTGACAACTGCTTCTAGCATCTCTGTGGGATATTACTGTACAGAGAATGTAGATAACTGCTGGATACATGTTAATTTGAAGAGGGATCTGTGGTTTTGTTGAGGAGATTATGTGGAGTGAATGTAAACAGCAGCTGGCATAGCTTGAACAGACGTGGGAGGAGCCAATAGGACAGACCACAGTGTTCTTTAGCATGATGGCAGTGAGCATGACCTGATGAAACAATTGCATATTTCCATGTAACTCAGTCTAGGGTCCTTGGAGAGCATTTGTATACCTCATGCTTCAAGCAAACAACTCTGCTGGGTGTGATTAAGGAACATTTCTGTATTGAATGTATTGGGATCCCAGTTGTTCTCTCTCACTGGGGAGTTGCCTTCTTATTAAATCAGCTGCTATACCTTGTTTGCACCTTTTAGCTGGTGCTGCCGTAAGTCAGAGGAATCTGGTATGAAGACACAGCAGTAGTGATGCTGCCCTGTTTCCTATGGATGCAGGACCTGCCATGCAGAGTGCTTTGCTGTCCCTGATAGTTAATGGCAAAACACTTGAGAAGAGCATAATCAAAAGACTAATTCCTCAAATCAAGGATCAACCCAGAAATGTCTGGCTTGTATTATATGAGTGATATCATCTTTGTCTTCCCACTGTTTGGAGGTGATAGACCAGAGCGTTTTTCAGAATTGATATCACTGTTTTAATTCTGAGACCAGAGGACGGTTTGCTGGATTACAAAACATGGCGACTGTGAGCTCTCCACAGTTTTTAAACATGATGCAACTACTTAGATTCATATACAGTTGATTCTCAAATAGTACACTGCTTTTATACGGTAGGCTTCATCTTGATTCAGGCAGCTTTTGACTTGATGTGGAATTTTAGTCTGGATCCCATAGGGGGTTAATGTTGCTGCACTGTAACTCTTCCTTTTTTCCTCCTTTCCTTATGTCTTGCATTCAACTACCACCTTAATTTGAGTCTCCCTGGTAACTTTTTTTTTTTGGATGTTCTTCTCTATACTGCTCTATGCATCACACTGGCAATTTACCACTTTACTGAATGTTTAAATGATGCACATGTATCATAAAAATAAATCAGATTTTTTTTTTTTTACAATGCCTTTCTTATAGTTATGTGGCTAACAGCTATTAATAACAGAATTATTAATACATTTTTAAGACATTCTAAATAAATTGGTAATGTTGATTTTTGATATATTGTCAGATATATACTATTTTACGTTGAGAAAAGTTACAGAAACGCTTTTGTTAATTTGTGGCCTTCAAGCAAGAACTGCGGTTCCTATTTTTCATTTTCTCAGACTTTTGGGTTGCTCTGGCAAGTTTGCTACTGTGTGAAACATTTTAAAACCAGGAGAACTAAGGAGATATTTAACAATAGCGTGGCAGACTGAAAGTTGCCAGACAGCATGATACTCCTTCAGCCGTGGGAAAGCCAATGAGAGGGAACGTCTACCCTTTACAAAACATTCTGAAATAGGCTTTAAATGATTGGTACCTTTTTTCTCTTCTGTTGCTTTGTTCTCTGCAGGGATTCCAGGGCTTTGGATTTGGTGATGGTGGCTTCCAAATGTCATTCGGAATTGGGGCGTTTCCCTTTGGTATATTTGCAACAGCATTCAACATAAATGATGGGCGACCTCCTCCAGGTACCATGCATCTTATCTTCTCCAAGAGTCCTGTCACAAACAGATGTTTTGCAAACTCCCTTACAACTTTTAAACAAATAGCTTGCTAAATGACAAAACTTTCCGAATGGTAAAGTAAATCAGTGTTGTATACAGAAATACAAAATGAGGGAAAACACCCAGTAGAGAACATAGGTTATGTCTTACAGGTTTAATACGAGTGCTTATATAAGAAGCAAGTCTGTCACCTCCATATGATTTGCTGAAGGCCCTGTTGAGAGGACAGTGGAACTGGAGAGGGATAGTGGCACTGGAGACTTCTCCCCTTTAATTCCAATGTCTCCTCTGGTACTCCAGTGGACTCCCTCCAAAAAACGAGACAAATTGGACTGGAGTTTCTAATAATAATAAAAAGGAGTCAATAGGAGTGTATGAAGGAGACCCATATTTTGAAAACAGCAGGAAAGGACCATTTCCTGAAAGATGACAAGGAAAAATTTAAACTGGTGCTCAAAATAATGACAGCAAAGATTGTTCCTTTTTCAGAAATGTCTCTCTGAGACAGTCATGTGTATTCCACAAGAAGTAACTTTCTGGTGAAGTAATTTCACTGTTTTTAATTAAGAAAAAACAGTTGGATTACTCCAAGTAGTAGCCTCGCTCTCTAAAAATTAAGTAATCCCCAGAAAACCTCCTCCCCTTCTGCATTGCAGACAAACTGAGTCTACATGTTTTGAACAAGAAAACCTACTGCTCAGGATTTTCTGGACTTCCTCTGTGAAAGGTTGTGCCTGGCAAATCTTCTTCACCATGTCATATGGCATAGGAATTATGAGAAAGAGGAACACATTCTTCATGTCACACCTGTGTTGCCAAGGACCTGTGCTGTCCTTGGGTCAAATTAACTTGCCTATTAACTATACTTCAGTGTCCACTGAAAATTTGTGTGGAGGTGTGACTGAGCTATGGAGTATGTAAATATATGCTTTTGTAACAACCATAATTTAACCAACTTCTTTATCTGCTTTTCATCTGTGGATTCAATACAGCAGTTCCAGAAAGGCATGGCTTGAGCTTTAGAGCTCGTGTGCTTTTCATTAGTTCTCTTGGTCAAGGCTACACATGCAGCTTTGACCGGTTTACCATTTCCTTACTCAGAGATGTTTCACCTTGATGGGCCAGAGTGTGCAGGTAGAGGTGGTAATGTTCCTTACGATGGAAACAGTGAACTTAGCTCAGCACTCAACAGTGAACTAAGCAGTGAACTTAGCTCAGCACTCTCCCCAGAAGTACTCTGAGCAGACCTGCCTGTACTCTAGCACTTGGAGCTGCCTGCTGCTATTAGTCATGAGCAGGTTTACCACAAGTCCTGCTTCAGGGAGCCGATGTTTGTCTTCTTCTGATCTTCCAGTATGGCTGGCAAGTCTGAGGGTAGGAAATAGCAACAGTTTCTCACCAAGTAGATTCCTTGCGTATCTTTCAATTTATGAATGTACTATGTTCAGAATATACCCAATTCTGGAGAAGAGGAAGGAGCTGAATTGTTTTTTTTACTTCCTGTTTTCCAGCTGTTCCAGGGACTCCTCAATATGTGGATGAGCAGTTCCTATCCCGCCTCTTCCTATTTGTGGCTCTGGTGATAATGTTCTGGCTGTTGATTGCATAAATCTTTTCCATTATTCTGTATATTCATGGCCAACAAGGCCACTGAAACAGTTACAAACTGCATCCCCATCCCATTTTAAACCTCTTGGTGTCTGGTTCCGTAGCTAACTATGGGCTTCAGGAATTGGTGGTACCACAGCACAATGAGGAATCTCGCATTTTGCGCCAGAGTTGGAAATTAAACATTGGTTAAAAAGTGTATTTCAGCTCAGCTGTCTTGTACAACAGGTTCCTGCCACAAACCATGAGCCAAGTTTTGCGCTCTGCTCCTAAAAGGAGTGCTGCTTTGAAATCCTGTGCCAATCAGTGACACCAGGTTTATGTGAAAGACAGTTGCCCCAAGGTAGACTGGGCAGGCAAGGAAACTTCTGCAGTGTGATCAGTATCTCATGCTTGGCAACCACGATGGATCTGCCAGAGCTGCGGATGTTATTTAATGTCTTCACATCAACATCCAACCTTCTTCAGGAAATCATCTGCAGCACTGCTGAGACTCTTTGGGCACAGCACGTGATGCAAATGGAACCAGGTTTGGAGACTGGTTTCTTTTCTTGGTGTTATTTCCCGGCATGATGGAAAACCCCTCCTGAAGCGGTTCTAATGGCTGTTAGAAGAAGGGATACACATTTATGCTGCAATTTTTAAAAGCCTGAATTTGCTGGAGCCAGACACTGGAAGATTCTTTGGTGGAGCCGGGTGGGGTTGCCGAACAGTACGACGCACCTGTCTGCCTCACCCAGCCCAGCTCCCCACTGACAAAACAGTGTTGTCTTCCTTGGTTCTGCGCAGCAGCCTGTGGCTGCACTCATGGATAATCCCCTCACAACCTTGTCACTGTAGCTGCATTTATTCTTCCCAAGGCTTTGAGACTTTCTACGCAAGGTCATGTACTCCAAATAAAATCCTATTACAAATCTGAGACCAGCTTGTTTGGGGAGAGGAACAAAAGGCATTTTTATGTGAGTTTTGAGGTTAAACTTGTCATACTGTAAAATTATACAGGAGGAAAAGTGAGATCCTGCCTTTGCTAGCACATGCCACAGTAGGGAACATTTGGAAGAGCTGCTCTCCACAGGCGCATACAGCTACTCCATGCCACAGCAGAATGGCTCTTGTGCAAGAGTCTCTGCAGTATCTACCAAAGATATTAATTTGAAGTGCTGGAGAAGACCACACCATTTATGTGCTGAGGGGAAAATATTTCAGAAGGTGAGCACTCTGTAGCCGTTTTGGAATCCTGTTGGGTATACAGCTTTAAAGAGTACTCCTGATGTATTTGTTTAGATTCCTTCAGAACAGCAGGTATGAGAGATTCCCTAGCAAAATGAACAGTTTTCATATTTCTCTGACTAGGCAGTTCCATTTTTTTCTCTTATTGTTTTTAGATTATTTTGATTCAGATCGCTGATAGTCATAATGATTTCCTGCAATATTGTGACTTCCCTGGCAATAGACAGACAACTGACAAAACAAATGAACTCATACAAACTTTGTTTCAATAGCTAGGGTTTTTCTAGTGTATGGATGAGGTTCCTGGGCAGGACACCTTAATTAATTGTTGTAGAAGCTTATTTATGTAATAATGAACAGTTCACTTTTAGTATCAAGACAGAGGATGACTGAAGTTTAACTTCCCTACCTCCAAAATTCCATCTGGCAAGTAGAACGTTGCAAAGCTTCTGCAGTGTTTTGTCACATCCACATCTAGTCAAATTTATACCTGACTCGATGATAATCTGGCAGAATATATTGCTCAACTATAGATAGTTGAAGTGGTGCTTCAATTTTTGTTGTGTGGCACTTCTGAGAAGCTTAACTTCTTCTGCATATGGTTCTTCTCAAGTGCGTAACTTGGTAACTAGGACCCTTTCTAGGAGAAAGGCTGTTTATTGCATTCTTGCAAGCAACTGGCTGTAGGACAATGTCGCAGCTTGACTTCTTTCATGAGCAGGCAGCACCACCTGCTGATGAAAAGGGAAAGTTCATGTGATAGTAAAAGGGATGGTTTTCCTTCTCCTTTTTGTATTGAGAAACTCGATCCTAAGAGCAGAGGTTATCCAGGGAGGAGTAGGGTATCCCTTTAAAGCCTTCTTCCAATAAAGAGGACAGAAAAGTGACTGTAATACGTTCAAGAGGTATTGAAACTGATTTAACTAACACTTATGTTTTAAAATACAGAATTTTAATGGCTTGGGGTTTTTTTCCATCTTATTGGTCAGAGATATAATGGATTTAGATGGAGGTGGCTGCAGAAACATGACTGAGAGTCCTTACTTTGTGGCAATCCAAGAATGAAATAGTTTAAAAGTGTTAATGCTTTTTTTCCTACCTTTTTCTTGGTGTGCTTTTTCTATCGTACCACTTCCTCCCTTGTACTCAGACTGCACACAGCCCATAATGGCTTGTTTAGTGCACTACCATTACTGTTCACTAATTTTCACTGTTGTGAAAGTGATTTAGAATTAAAAAATGGTTTTACATTGACCGGAGTGCGCCGCCATTGCTTTGCGCTTCGCGGACGGACTGAGGTGAGGCGCTTGCCCGAGCCCTACCTCGAGGACGAGGAGTCCGTGCCTCAGGAAGCGGGAGGGACGGGGGCTCGCTTCTCCCTCACCGGGGTGTCGGGGGCGTTCCGCG